GCTCGATCACTCGGGCACGAATTTATCTGACGAAATTTGCAATTCATATTTTCATAGTTACCCGACGGAGAGAACACCGGCTTTCTACACACAGCCGTACTCGCGTTCTACGAGAAAGCCAGCTCTCGGCATTGTGCGCGAGGAGGGCAGACTCTCTCGAATGATACTTTCGTCATCCGCCGCGCGCACTTTGCATAATTATCGGTCTCCGACCAGTCGCTAATATCGAATCTATAAAAAGTATATCGTAAAGGTAATTTTATTGAACTGCTAACAAGCGCGGCCCGGTGCTTATAAAACTTGTATTAACCGTAACAGTTAATTTTCGTAGTTTATGTATGCGAATCGTTAAATTCAATTTTATTGAAGTTCGCGGGACTTGTGCGAAGATTTTTGCGGCGCCCTTTTTGGTCTGTTTGCGCCCGTAGAATTGCCCCGTTTTGCTCGGTCGTCGGGTCCCATTCTGCGTTTATGCACCGGAGATGCTGCATTCACGTAAGCTCGACGTGATTGAATTTTAGAAAATTGATCGTTTACGGGACAGATTTTATACCGAAATTCTATACATTAAATGCAATTTCCACTTAACCAGTTAGCCGTTGCGCGCACTCTTTGAACAGCGTGTACCTAAAGTGCATCGCGAAGGAAATAACAATTATTTTTCACTTTATACACAGTTTTCTCTCATGAGAATTATATGTTTGTTTTATTTGTTCGTTTTACTTCGTTCGGACCACCGAGCATTAAAAAAACATTTTAAAATTTACGAGAATATTTTAGTTTTCACTGTAATTGCAATTTATAAAACAGCAAATTGTAACTACTGTTTACGCGTGGCGAGTCAAGAACAGCTGCCTGGTTAAAACAGACTTTTTTTACTGGAACATTTCGTAAGAGAATCGTACCCTCATCCGATTATACCACAGCTCATTCGTATTCTTGTCAAGAGACACACTCGTCATCAAATTCCCCGGAAATCTAAGCTTCTCGGGAAGAAAAAACTGTCACCCCTCGCGCTTTCGATTTACTTTCGTAGGACCCTCTCCCGCGAGGCGCCACGCACTCGAACCCGTGATAAACACACTCGAAGCGATCGCGACATCACACCCCTGTTTGCCGAGCCAATATTTTGACTCGAGTGTTAAAGCATCCGAGTCGGCGTGAGTCGGTCTCTCGGCTGTTTGAACAGGCGAGTTACACAACGGGCCAGCGGGAACGCGTGCGTTCTATCTCGCGGTCCAATCTTCGCGGGTGAAAAAGTTCACGCGGCAAATCGAACGAACGCGCGTTCTGCTGTCCTTTCGAGCGAATAGATCTCGCACGCATCGATGCGACTCATTGATTGGTGGATGATTGCTCCGCGGCCCCGGGAGCGGCTACGCTTAGGAAACCGCGCGATTACAATTATTACTGGAAATGACGGCTGTACAATGCGAACTCCGAATGCCATTAAGCAAACCACAAAACGCGTTCTCCGCGTTGCTGGGTGGGTCTCTCTCTCTCTCTCTCTCTCTCTCTCTCTCTCTCTCTCTCTCTCTCTCTTTCTCCGTGTATGTCGGTCCCACTTTATGGTTCTTCCATAATTCGCGTAATCGTGATTGTGTGCCCGGCCCGTGACACATATTTGCGTTATTCATAATATCGCCGTGGCCGCAACACCACTCTCGCCTACTATCTCTCGCGCATCGATGCAATTCTACCGCGCAATCATGGACACACCGTTCGCCGTCCTCGCGAATTCTCGACGCCGCTGAAATCGCTGGCATTTCGAACCGATACCCATTGCGAATCCCTTTCCCGATCGTCCCCGTTCCCGGCGCAACTCGAACGCCGCACCAGAACTACGGATCAAGACGATCCCGGACGATCGACGACGTAACTTCACGTTGCCTACGCTAATTCAATTATGACGACTGGCCGCAGCACTGTCGAAGTTTCCGCACTGTGTAAACACCACCGAGCCCGGCGATTGGGTAATGTGTGTGCACGTCAAATTTGCAGAGCCTGCTTCGCCTGGCCTAGTTACCGAATTCGACCGTTTCCAAAGATAGTTGTCTTTGCGGCCCTCTGAACGATGGCCAACTGATCTGTTTGTCTTAACACGGGGTTTTACAAACAATCGAAGATTCGACAAGTTTTTTGATCATCCAGAAGATGCGTCTTCCGGACTAGGATTCTATTTTGTCCATATCGTTGTTCTTTATATAGTGGAACCGGTTACCAAGTTTATAAATAACTTTATATTTATCGGATAGGACATATAAAATTTTCCCATGCTTTTGTTTATTTTAGAATGGAACTATCCAGTATGTCTTATTCGATAAATATAAATAAGAATATAAAGATAATTGGTTCCACTGTCCTACGGCATTTTGAACGTAAAGGACAAACTAGTTTACGAACCGAATCGTTTCTTTATCTTGGTTGTCTCGATGCATGGATTCGCACAAGGGTAGTCGTAAAACTTGCTCTTTGTCTAAGGAACGTCATTTAATCAAGACACGTGTCGCATCAGGAACGTTATCAACGCGATAATTGCACACAGTTCGAAAATCGCTCTTTAGGGAATGATAGTAACGAAAGATTCAGCAACGATCAATTCGTCTTTCCGTCGCACTCCTTCCGTTACTCCTCCACAATTAAACCAGTAATTTGTTAGAAGACGAATCGCGTCTATCGCGAGTCTGTCCCCGCTCGAAAACTTCGACAATGGCAACAAGAATCTGGAACCTCATTTCAATCGAACTATAAAGGTTTACGATTGCCAGACTTTGCATAGCCGCCTGATACAGTTTGTTTCGCGAATGGAACCGTATGTACATACTTCCGAATCGATAAACGGTGGGAAAATGACGGCGGATTGAAATTCGCAGGCGGCAACATCCGTTTGCCGTTGCCTCTCGCAAATAACGTTGTTGCAGCAACGGGAACGATCAAAGTCAGCGAACCCGCGCGAGGACTCCGCTCGGCGACGCGACGGTCTTCCACCAAACTATCTGATTTCTATTACAATGAGCCCAGGCATTACTTATTCCGTCGATGTAACGGTAACGAAACGTGATGACAATGTAAACAGACGTGACTCGATTAGCATAAGGTATTGTCTCGCGTCGAGATTCCACGTGAAAGGCAGCCGGCGAGGCGACACAGAAGTTTGCATACTTTCGTAGCCACGGCTCTCCGCGAGCGGATTTTCGGCGTACGCTTCCACTCCGCGACGAATTTCACGGGTTCTACGTTGCGCGGAGAGTTTTCTGCGTTTCCGAAAAGCTTTATACGCTTTGATCATTAACTGCAATTAATCTCTTGCTCGAAGATTTTTCACTCGATCATTTTCGACTGAGCTGCTGCAGAGATTTCTGCGTTTCCGAAAAACGCATATTATATGCTTTGAGCATTAACTGCAATTAATCTCTTACTCGAAGATTTTTCACTCGATCATTTTCGACTGAGCTGCTGCAGAGATTTCTGCGTTTCCGAAAAACGCATATTATATGCTTTGAGCATTAACTGCAATTAATCTCTTACTCGAAGATTTTTCACTCGATCATTTTCGACTGAGCTGCTGCAGAGATTTCTGCGTTTCCGAAAAACGCATATTATATGCTTTGAGCATTAACTGCAATTAATCTCTTACTCGAAGATTTTTCACTCGATCATTTTCGACTGAGCTGCTGCAGAGATTTCTGCGTTTCCGAAAAACGCATATTATATGCTTTGAGCATTAACTGCAATTAATCTCTTACTCGAAGATTTTTCACTCGATCATTTTCGACTGAGCTGCTGCAGAGATTTCTGCGTTTCCGAAAAACGCATATTATATGCTTTGAGCATTAACTGCAATTAATCTCTTACTCGAAGATTTTTCACTCGATCATTTTCGACTGAGCTGCTGCAGAGATTTCTGCGTTTCCGAAAAACGCATATTATATGCTTTGAGCATTAACTGCAATTAATCTCTTGCTCGAAGATTTTTCACTCGATCATTTTCGACTGAGCTGCTTTACTTTCTATCGATTTATTAGATATTCCGAAGATTTTATATTGAGACGAAAGAGTTATACAGTAAATTCTCGTATAACACGAATTCCTACAATGCGCCAAAAAGTTTTCTCATAACACTATTTCTGTACGACGCGAAGCGAACAGCTAATTACACTGGGAAAAAGACGTTAGAATGTAACTTTGGATGATTTTGACAGTGCTCAACGATTAATGCTACAAAAGAAACGACTAAATCTTTTCGGTTTCGTTTAACTAATCATAACTGCATAACGAATCTGTTAAATTATTTATTTCGTTGAATTTATATGGAACAAAATGTTTTGTTCATACGTGCTAGCAATATTATCCGTGTTATAAGAGGACAATTTTCGCGTGACCGTATTTTACTTGCAGTTTCGAGTCTAATGTATTATATTTTTACTTATACATTAGTAATCGTGTATATGAACTCCTCACTGTGCCATTTTCTTCACAGTTACAATGATTAGTTCTTTTTTGATCACAATTATTTCTTGAAGGAAGAGGAGCATTTATATCTATTGTGAATACACCATGTTGTGAACGTTGTTGAACGCTTAAATATTGATGACAAGAGAACAGAATTTTATTCCGATTTAAAAAAGAAAAACGGAATAATATTCATACTTAACAGGTTATTACTAAAAATCTCCGTCGTGAAACGTAGTACAGCAAGGAATTAGATTTTTTCTGAAATTTTCATCATCAATTTCGACTCGATACTCGGTAAGACAAAATCACTTAGCGCTTTTAATTATCTTTACACTAATAACGACAGTGCTCGTTGTTTTTATCGGTTGTTTTTAAGTACGCGCACGACAAAATGAAAATCTCCACGTATCAGACACCGTCGATCACCTGTAGCTCGCGGAAACGCAATTTCGCGTGATCGATTGCGAATTTATCGGGGGAAAACGGATCCGGAGTTGCGACGACGACGACGACGACGACGAAGAAAAAGAAGAAGAAGAGTCATGGGTGTTAAAAAACATAAAAATAGAGCATTTTATTGTTTCAGTCACAGATGTTTATTCTAATAATATCTTTCACGTTGTGTCGGGGAGTGGGTCTTGCGAAAACATGAATAGCCACTTGCGAGGAAAGCTAAAGGGTAGAATTGTTCCACGTTTGTACATTATATTTCAATTATTTATAGCGGTACTTTAGTTTCCCTGCGTGACAAGCATTCCGAATTCGACGGTCGCGGCTAAAACAGAGAGAGAGGGGACTGGGTGTGCCGGAATTGCACGTGAACTTTTGATTCATCGTTCACACCGGTTGCGGTGCGGGGCTGAGGGGAAGAGAGACGGAGAGAGCACGGGACGCAGAGGCCGCGCGACGCCGCAAATTTTCTCTGCGCCCGTCGACGTGATCGCGCGATTATTTGCTCGCTGTGGCAAGAAACGGGAGCGGACCGCCGAATTCGTATACACACGGAAAACAATCGTGAAAACAGAATGTGTGTGCGTGTGTGTGGGTGTGTGAAAGAGTTCGTACCACGTGGAATCGCGAGTCACGCGGCAACGTCCCTGTCAACGTTCCGGGACGAAATAAATAAGAATTACAGTCTGCCTCTCGAAACTAGAGACCCGAGACGCGCCGATCGTCCCATGATTGCATTGCAGATCTTAATGCGAATATATTACACGCTTGCTGGGCCAAGAAAAAGATTCTGAGTGCATTAGAGACCGATTACGACTTTAACTGCTATAGTTGGTTGCTGAGATGTTCTGCGAATCTCGGGTGCCTTTCTTCGAGAGATAGACCATAGACGCACGCATTATAATACTTTACAAATTGGTCACGGCAGCGACGAAGAGCCTGAATCCGAAGATCCGTCGCTTGCCGGCCTCTCGAGTATTTGGTCGGCCAAGAAGTCACCCCCGTTTGCTTCGTAGCTAAATTATGTTCGATTAACCGCGTTCATCGTCAACGCGACCAAAGAGGAACCCACAATTTGTTACTAATATCGTACGACGGCACAAATGGTGCATATGAAAACTGTTAAATGTATCCAAATGTCTCATTTTATTATTTTCATGTTACAAATACTGCAATGACGAAGGTATTTTCTTTTAAAGAAATTACTAAATAAATTTATTCATCCTCGAGTATATTACAATTCACAGGAAGTCCGAACAAATGAATCTCTTTGACTGTTCGGTGCTTCTAACACTGAGATAAAATGAAGAGTTTCCAAGAAAGAGAAACGTGCGAACAATGTGAACAGTGCGCAAGGGTTAAACAATGCGGCGTCCGTTGAACTTTCAGCGACCCTTGGGGTGCCAATTTATTGACAAACTGTCGGCAAAGTGTTATGATACAAAGCAACGTGGATGAACGACCGAGGAGACTGTTTGGCCGGCCCGATACAATTAAATACACATTGATAGCTACGATTAGGAAGTGGTATCACTGTCAGCTTGCGATCGGTTGCCCCGACGCCCGTCGACGGGTGCGCACGACTCGGCCCTCGAGGAATTCTCGTGGACCCGCTTCGACTCGCTTCGACTCGTTTCGACTCGCGGAACCGTGTTCACCGTTGCCGAGCGTTCTGTCGCGTTCCTCTCGCAGTCTACCGAGCAACGACAACGACAAGCACCGCCGCCGGACAACTGGTTCTCGATTCCTCGAGGCCGGGTTCGCTCGTTCTCACTCTCTTTCCCGCGGTATGGCGACGGCTTATTTAAAAAGGCAAAAGAAGAATTCGCGAAACTGGGAAAGATGAAACAAATGGCACACGGCGAGCGTGCCGAAGTACGGGGCCGCATATATTTATATATACACACAAAATGTATATATATATTTATATATTTATTTCTCTCTTTCTCTCTCTGTCCTGCTCGTCGGACGAGCGAGAAGGACGGAGAGACTAATCGTTTCTCTTCGCGCACTCTAAATCCGTTAATAGAGAACTCGGGGGGGACGATACGCGGAACGGTCTCGTGCGAAAGACCGAGCGCGGCGCGCGGTTTCTATTTACAACGACTTTTTAAGCTATCTATCGACTCACTGACTCGCTGGGTAATATACAGAACACCGGGACCGCCGTGTCTCCGTGTGTATCCGGTTTTCTCACGAGGAAGCACCTTAAATATACATATACATATATTCACTCCCATCTCACGGATCTATTTACAACACTGCTCCCGCGCGCTCTCGTACACTTCCGAATCTACATGTACATATATAGAAATCCTCGCTGTTATATTTACACTCTCTATCCGTCTGCCACGTATTGCACCGCAGTAGAAATGCACTGTGTAACCGGGGTAGCCGACGCCTGGGTGGCAAGCGTCCGCTCGCGCTGATTCTCTCTCTGTGTCTGGTCTCGCCGTGAGATCCGCGGGGGACGCCCACTCCGAAACGAAACGAAACGTAACTCCGTGAACAACCGTGCACAATCATTCGCACCGAGAGATACACACGCGCACAGGCACACATATGGACGAACACGAATGAGCGAACGGGCGGCTACGACACACAGGCACAGGTAAAACGCACAGGGGGACAACGGAAGCCACTTCATATGTGCACGGAGACGGTGCGCGAGCCGTTCGATGTCCTGTTGTTGTGCTGCCGTCGGACCGGCGGCGGCTGCCTCGTCCTCTGCGTGGTCCTCTGGTTGTTGGGCACGTCGGGCAACGCGAACCGCAGCTTCTCCCAGAACAGCTTGTCGCCCCACTGCAAGTAGGTGTTGGTCTTCAGATAGAGCCTGATGTCCGGGTCGAGGTCCCGCTGGTGGACGTCGCCCACCAGCACCAGGATCAGCCTACGCCTTCTGTCCCGCAGCACCTGGTGGTGCGCGCTTTTGAAATCGAATCGGCACCACTCGGACTTGATGAAGTTCTCCGAGAGCACCATGATCGTCCTCCTCGAGGACTCGACCGCCTGCACGATGGTGTCCGCGATGAAGCTGCCGACTGGAAAGTCCCTGTAGTGCAGGCAGAGCTTGTACGACGGGTTCCCCATCTCCAAGACCGGAGCCAGCTCCTCGGCGACGAAAGCCTCGTCCTTGGAGCTGTAGCTGACGAACGCGTCGAACAGCTTGTCCCGGTCGTCCCTGTCGACCTCGTGGTTCCTGTAGAATATCCGGACGCCGAACCTCGAGTGGAACCAGACACGGAGCTCCTGCCGGAACACGAACGCCAGCATGCAGATCAGCACCACGAGCAAAGAGCCCACCAAGGTAGCCACTACCAAGGGCAGATAGTCCTGCAGGACCTGCTTCTCGATGATCGTCTTGGTGTAGTTCCGGTGCACGTCGTTGTCGATGCTGGCCCCGCCCGAGCACACCGCAGTCTCGTTGCTCTTCTCGCGATCCCCTGCCGTCACCAGGAACCCGAACTCGTTGTCCGCGAACACCTCGTCACCGAACGCCTCGAACTCCGTCACGTTGTACACGCACCGCAGCACGGACGCGTCCGTCACGCGGACACTCGGCTCGCGGATCCACTCGCGGTAACTCTGCAGATAGTCGCACTCGCAGGACCACGGGTTCCCGGATAAACTGATCTCGATGGCGGACGGCAGGGTCCAGACGGCCAGCGTGGTCAGCCGGTTGTTCTCGAGCCGGAGCAGCCTGAGCGATCTCAGGGACGCGAACGTGTCGTTGCCGACGGATACGATCCTGTTCCGCTGCAGGTAGAGCTGCCTGAGCGCGTCCAGCCCCTCGAACTCGTGTCCCTTCAGCTCGCGTATCCTGTTGTCCTGCAGATGAAGGTCCTCCAGGTCCCGGAGACCGTTGAACGACCGGTTCTGCACGATCTCGATGTTCGAGGAATTCAGGAACAGAACCTTGAGCTTCTTGCGGCCGATGAAAGCGTGACTGGACACGACCCGCAGGTCGTTCCCGTCCAAATAGAGCCGCGTCGCGTCCATCGGGATCTGCTCGGGTAGCTTGTTCACGTGGCCGCCGTTCGAGCAGTCGACCACGTTCGCCGACCACGATTGGTCGTGGTAGCACGTGCAGTTCAACGGGCACGTCATCTCGCAGTCGCAGGCGTCGAAGTCGCAGCAGTGGCACAACGCGAAACAGTGGGTGTCGTACTTGCAGAGGAACTGCGAGTGAGACGCCTCGACCAGAGGGACGAACGCGTGCTCGCGGTCGTAGAGCAGCTCGCAGTAGATGCTCTCGAGGTCCATCACGCGGGGCTGCACTCTGCTCTGGTTCTGCCTGTTGACCCGCTGCAACCACTCCATGGTGCAGTCGCACAGGTACTGGTTGTCTCCTATGTAGAACTCTGGCAGAGGCTTGTCGGCCGCGACCGCGCTGATCCTCAACGCGTACGGCTCCAAGTTGCGGATGTGGTTCCCCTTGAGGTCGACGCGCGTCAGGTTCGGCTTCTTGAAGAACGAGTAGCTCTGCACCTTCGAGATCTGGTTGTCGTTCAGATAGAGTCTCTCGACGCTCATCGGGATCGCGTTCCCGGTGATCTCGGCGAGCTTGTTCTCGCTGGCGTCGAACGTGCTCAGCTGCAGCTGGCTCTCGATCTCCAAATTGTTTCCCAGCTCTCTGATCTCGTTCGAGTGTATGTCCAACCACTGCAGCCGGGTCGGTATCATCTCGTAGTCGAAACTCTTCAGCTTGTTGTCGCTGACGTTCAGCCAGACCAAGTTCGGTAGATTGGTGAACAAGTCCGTGATGTCCGTCAGTTGATTCCCGTCGAGCCGGATCGCTTGGAGATTCAGGTTCTCGTCGAACGTGCCGGGTTCGATGTACTGAATCCGGTTCATCGCGAGATTCAATATCTTCAGCTCCTTGATACGATCGAACACGCCCTTGGTCAGGTTGCCGATGTGATTTTCGGTCAACCGGAGCCCGTATAGCTGGTCGACATGGTCGAACGTGCCGGTCGGTATCTCCGAAATGAGGTTCTCGCCGAGGTCGAGGGTTCGCAGTAGGGGAGTGGCTTTCAACGCGTCCGGCACCGATTTCAGCTGGTTGCGGTTCAGGTGGAACTCCTGGAGGGACGAGACGTTTCTCAGGGAGCTCGGGTGGATCGTGTGCAGCCGGTTGTTGTCCAGCGAAAGCAGATTCAGAACGTAGAGTCCGTTGAGCGTGGTCGCGTCGATAACAGTCAGCAGATTATCGCTGAGCAGCAACGTGTGCAGATTATAGAGCGCGGAGAACGTGTTCTCCGGCAGGCTCTCCAGCAGATTCTCCTGCAGCCGGAGGATCTGCAGGGTTTGGAGGTCGCGGAACACCGTCGGGTCCAACCGGCCGATACGATTATTCGACAGGTCCAGCACCACTAGCCGCAGCAGGCGGCCGAACGTGGCCGCGTTTACCCACTCGGCGGTCAACTCGTTGTGAGACAGATCGAGCACCAACAACTGCGTCAGTTCACTGAACAACCCGGGCGGCAACACGTTCAACGTATTGTTCCTTAAGTGAATCTCCTGTATGCTCCTCGCGTCGCTGAACAGCTCGGGCGGCAGGCTGGCGAGTCGATTGTCCGCGAGCCTCAAGATGGCCAACGAGGAGAGGCCCTCGAACGCGCGGTCCGCCATGAAGCTGATGGCGTTGCACCGGAGATCCAAGCTGTGCAGCCTGGTCAATCCGGAGAACGCGGCGCTGGGCAGAGACTCGATGCTGTTGTTGCTCAGGTCCAGCTCCTTCAGGTTCGACAGACACCTGGCTGCCCCGTTGAACTGGAAGCTGGTCACCTCGCGCAACCTATTCCGCGTCAAGTTCAGGATCTCGAGGTTGATCAGGGGGCACAGCGCGCCCTCCGGGATGCTCCACATGTTGTTCTCCCCTAAGTCGAGCTTCTCGAGCTGCCTGAGCTCGTCGGTGAACGCGCCAGCGGACACGTCCAGCGCCATCGCCGACCAGTCGGTGTTGTGCGTTCTGACGGTCAGATTGCGCAGCTCTTTGAGCCCTTTGAACGCGTCGTCGGACAGATTGCCGATCTTGCAGTACTCGATCACCAGTTCCCTGAGCTCGACCAACGGTCGAAAGCTGCCGGCGCTCAGGGAACTCTGATAAAACAATCCGTCGCTGCATTCGAGCCGCAGCCGGACCGTGTGCTGAGGCTGGATCACGCTGAAGTTCGTGTTCTCCAGCTCGCTGTTGATGGTCCTCAATCTGCAGACCAGCGACACGTCGTCCTCGGTGTCGCCGGTCGCTACCCACTTGCACTCGTCCGGCGCCTTGTACCTCAGCGCCTTGCTGAGGGACGCGCCGAGGACACCGAATATCGTGCCCAGCAATATGGCGAAGAACGCAGGACTGCCCCGCATCTTTCCGCCCTCTCTCTTCTCTCTCTCTCGCTCGCGCGCGCGCGCACACACACACACAACTCTCTATCTCTCTCTCTCTCTCTCTCGTTCTCGTTCCCTCAATCTTCCATCAAATCCCGTTCGACGATCGCGGTTCCTCCAGCGATTATGAGTCCTATCTGTCGCGGAGACCGGCCACGATCCATTTAAATCCTGGGACCAACGGCGATCTTTTTACCTCACGTCGTCCATGTCACTACCACAAGATCCCCTCGGCATCCGTGGAGGGCTCGACTCCCATCGGCGTAACGATCCGAGCCGCGGTTACGTTTCGCCCGATCCTGCTTTACCGATCTTTTTCTCTCTCTGTCTCTCTCTCTCTCTCTCTCTCTCTCTCTCTCNGATCCATTTAAATCCTGGGACCAACGGCGATCTTTTTACCTCACGTCGTCCATGTCACTACCACAAGATCCCCTCGGCATCCGTGGAGGGCTCGACTCCCATCGGCGTAACGATCCGAGCCGCGGTTACGTTTCGCCCGATCCTGCTTTACCGATCTTTTTCTCTCTCTGTCTCTCTCTCTCTCTCTCTCTCTCTCTCTCTCTGGCTTCCTCCCCCTCTCGTTCCGTCTCTTTTGCCGCTAAGCTCTATAATCTCCTGGAGATTTCATCCTCAGGACCGTACCTCCTGAACACGGTCGTCGGTCGGCTGGCACCGAACGACGAGGACGACGAAGACGATGAGGACGACGAGGAGAGAGCTTGCGCGACCGCGACCGCGAGCGACCAGGTTCACCGACCTCTCCGGAGATTATCGACACGTATACGGGTATGGGTGTACAGCCAGCGAGAAAAATCCCGAGAACGACGAAAAGTCACGGGCGACAATACACGTATATACGGCTCCGGTAAGACCCACGGTTCTCCGAGGACTGGTTGGCAAGTTGTAAGGCCCGAACTGGCACCGCTACCCTCGCCCCTCCGCCCACCCTGTGCCGCCGCTCTCCTCGCCCCTCCTCCCGTCCCAGCCGTCCTTCCTTCCCCCACCGGTCCGGCCTTCTCTCGTTCGTCGTCGTCGTCCTCCGTAGCCGGGGCCCGACGTTCTGGCAAGCCTATAAAAACAAGACAGGTACACTCTCCGGGCCCTTACAGTGGCTCCTCAGCATCTGCAGCCTCCATCCACCACGTTCTACTCTCCTTCTTCCTCGTACCCTTCCACCGTTCCTCTCTTCGTCTTCTTTTCACCCGTTCCTCCCGTGTCTGCGTCCCCCTCTCTCCTTGGGCCCCTCTCGGTCCCTCGCATATCTTCTCTCTCCTCTTTCGCGCGCTTACACCCCCCGCATCTCGTGTTCCCCGGCTCTCTGGCTGGTTCTCTCGGTCTCTCTTCCTCTCTTCCCCCCTCTCTGCCCCCCTCCTCTCGGTCCCTCTCTGTCCCTTTTGCCGTATTGCCGTTCGATTCGTCCGTGAAACCTTGCCTCACCGTCATCTGTTCTCACATCGTTTCTACGATTCTGTCACGAAGAATGAAACCTCGAAAAAGAATGTTTGCTCAATGCCTTTGTGCGAATCCCGTTCCCATTCGCATTCCAGTTGTCGCGAGTCCCCGGCTAGTATTTTGCAACTAGCCGTTCCTCTAATTTTTTCTTCTTTTTCCCAATCTCCTCTTCTCTGTCTTGTTCCCTGCCTCTCCTCTCCCGTGTACCCTTTCTCTCGCCAGCTTCCCGTCGATTTATAATCTACACGAGGGCCCGTGTATCTGATGTTACACGGGACGCACATTGTTCTTTTCAACGGATCCTCGCGGATTTTCGCAGAATTGAATACCCGAGAGGCGGCGGCGGCGGAGTCGAGGGGGACAGAGGGGATGGATAAAAGGGGGACCGATAATCTCTCGTACCGCCGGCTTGAATTATTTTTATCGCGAGATTACACNTCTCTATCTCTCTCTCTCTCTCTCGTTCTCGTTCCCTCAATCTTCCATCAAATCCCGTTCGACGATCGCGGTTCCTCCAGCGATTATGAGTCCTATCTGTCGCGGAGACCGGCCACGATCCATTTAAATCCTGGGACCAACGGCGATCTTTTTACCTCACGTCGTCCATGTCACTACCACAAGATCCCCTCGGCATCCGTGGAGGGCTCGACTCCCATCGGCGTAACGATCCGAGCCGCGGTTACGTTTCGCCCGATCCTGCTTTACCGATCTTTTTCTCTCTCTGTCTCTCTCTCTCTCTCTCTCTCTCTCTCTCTCTGGCTTCCTCCCCCTCTCGTTCCGTCTCTTTTGCCGCTAAGCTCTATAATCTCCTGGAGATTTCATCCTCAGGACCGTACCTCCTGAACACGGTCGTCGGTCGGCTGGCACCGAACGACGAGGACGACGAAGACGATGAGGACGACGAGGAGAGAGCTTGCGCGACCGCGACCGCGAGCGACCAGGTTCACCGACCTCTCCGGAGATTATCGACACGTATACGGGTATGGGTGTACAGCCAGCGAGAAAAATCCCGAGAACGACGAAAAGTCACGGGCGACAATACACGTATATACGGCTCCGGTAAGACCCACGGTTCTCCGAGGACTGGTTGGCAAGTTGTAAGGCCCGAACTGGCACCGCTACCCTCGCCCCTCCGCCCACCCTGTGCCGCCGCTCTCCTCGCCCCTCCTCCCGTCCCAGCCGTCCTTCCTTCCCCCACCGGTCCGGCCTTCTCTCGTTCGTCGTCGTCGTCCTCCGTAGCCGGGGCCCGACGTTCTGGCAAGCCTATAAAAACAAGACAGGTACACTCTCCGGGCCCTTACAGTGGCTCCTCAGCATCTGCAGCCTCCATCCACCACGTTCTACTCTCCTTCTTCCTCGTACCCTTCCACCGTTCCTCTCTTCGTCTTCTTTTCACCCGTTCCTCCCGTGTCTGCGTCCCCCTCTCTCCTTGGGCCCCTCTCGGTCCCTCGCATATCTTCTCTCTCCTCTTTCGCGCGCTTACACCCCCCGCATCTCGTGTTCCCCGGCTCTCTGGCTGGTTCTCTCGGTCTCTCTTCCTCTCTTCCCCCCTCTCTGCCCCCCTCCTCTCGGTCCCTCTCTGTCCCTTTTGCCGTATTGCCGTTCGATTCGTCCGTGAAACCTTGCCTCACCGTCATCTGTTCTCACATCGTTTCTACGATTCTGTCACGAAGAATGAAACCTCGAAAAAGAATGTTTGCTCAATGCCTTTGTGCGAATCCCGTTCCCATTCGCATTCCAGTTGTCGCGAGTCCCCGGCTAGTATTTTGCAACTAGCCGTTCCTCTAATTTTTTCTTCTTTTTCCCAATCTCCTCTTCTCTGTCTTGTTCCCTGCCTCTCCTCTCCCGTGTACCCTTTCTCTCGCCAGCTTCCCGTCGATTTATAATCTACACGAGGGCCCGTGTATCTGATGTTACACGGGACGCACATTGTTCTTTTCAACGGATCCTCGCGGATTTTCGCAGAATTGAATACCCGAGAGGCGGCGGCGGCGGAGTCGAGGGGGACAGAGGGGATGGATAAAAGGGGGACCGATAATCTCTCGTACCGCCGGCTTGAATTATTTTTATCGCGAGATTACACGCTCGTTATTACGCCACCGCCGAGTCCTAGGCAACTTTTCTTTATCGCTGCTATCGCGGCTGGATCGCGCGGGATAATTAGCTGGAAAAGTTGGAAAAGTTGGAAAACAAAAGTCACCGCCGCCCACGCGAACCCTTTCGGCTTTGAAAGGCGGCGACTTGAAAATCCGCTGGTTCCCTTGCCGGGGCCCTCTTCCGGTTTTTCGCCCCGTCATTATTAGCTTTATGGTCTGTTTGGGATTCGCGCGTTCTCGTCCCATTGAGTGTAAAACGATCGGACGCATTGTGTCAGGAGCGGTGTGTTGGGACACGTCAAGTGGTTCCCCACAGAGAGAAAGAGAGAAAGAGAGAGAGAGAGAGGGAGAGAAGTCCGCCTCCTTTCAGAAAACAGTGCTCGGTAGTTCCATCTCCCGTCGTTGAAAAGTGATTTGTTACCTTTACCTGGCCAAAGTAGGGGTCCGCATTGGCAGGCCGTCCTCTCCGCCGCGTCCCCCGGCCGGACCGCCTTGATTTACTCATCGAAATTCAAATAGGAGGATACATCATTTTCATCGGCCCAATAAAAGTATCATTAGTAAAATGAATGCTGGCCCGCGCCTCGTCGTCAACCCTGATTCGTTCCAATTCGGACCGGGGCCCTGCGCACGTCTCATTTAGCTCCACGTCTACCGATTCATCTGCGCAACTTTTTCCCCGGCGCGTACTGCCTCCACGGAATTTCAGCGGGCATGATTTTTAATTAAACATCATTTGTCTTTCGTAGGTTTAATTTTTCCGCCGAATCCAAGTGCTTGCTTTTCTTAATGTTTTCTTAACACTTGAACGACGGGGTTCGGCTCTGTTTGCACCACGAGTATAAATATTGTTACTTATGATTATCTATTTTCTGATATTTAATCAGTTAATTGTTTTAGACGAACTGTTGCCATTCCTTGATGATGAGCATGCTCGTCAAAAACAGCTAACCGGTTAAGAAGCATATATACTTCGATATTCTTTACTAAATTATATACTTTATAAAAGTGTTGTATTTAAACAAACTGTAAAGAAAAAAAATCGAAGATATACAGTATAATTACAGTAACTTAGGCACTTTTCACAGAGATTGCAGCAGCTAGCTGAAAAACGAACGCGTCTAGAACGAGTACCTTAAAAATATATTGAAAGATTGATAAATATAAGTACAAATTAGCCTAAACATACTCAGTTGTATTTTTGTCAAAAAGATTCGCTGCTCGAGTGTTAAAAGACCAAAGCAGTCTAATCTTTTATATTACAAATATTGACGACGAAGAATTTGTTAATTAAATTGTTCGACTGCTACAGAACTTATGTATTAGCTTCTTTATAGAACGCAATGATTTTGCTTCAAAGTATACCATCGGTATATTTTTTCAGAGATATTAGAACAATAAATTTTGAAAGTATTATTTCAAGGAAGTAGAGTCGTGATAACAAATAGACGTTAACTTGTACAAATTCTCAGACGGTCCAATTTATTTTCCAGACAAAATATCGTGAAATGCCTGCCGCAGGTCTAACAAAACAGTTACCTTTCCTGTATCATGCCGCGATCACCGCGATAGTTCGTTTCCGCATTAAAGCGACAGAAATCAATACTCAGGAGAAAGTGGCTCATTGCGATTAGCTAGCCTCCGGCTCGATCGATGATCTCACGATTGTCTTTAAACGGTATTTACATTTCTTGCAGGAACCGTTGGTCCATCGAATCGATTTATAATTGCAGAGGCGACCGCGGGCCAACGATGGGGGTAACTAAATAACGGATGGTATTCTATGTCATTAATAGCCGTTCGAGAGAATAAACCGCGGCGTGGAAGTGTATCTCGCGAGAAGCGTATTTTATCCCGCGAGCCCATTGATCCTTATTACGAGATCTTTGCCAAGGCCGTGGGCATAAATCGGTATAATATTTCACCTTTCCACGCGTTCCCTCACGCCATAGTAATTGCCTATAGTCTGCGTTTTAGTCGTCAATGAGCGGTGGTAACGTTATTGCCCGAGTGCGCACGGTGTTTCGCGAATTAACCATATATCACTCGCCGTAAAGCGAGACTGCAACCAGTTAACTGCCTCGATCGCCTCGGGTCCTTTCTCACAATTCTTCCTCATTATACAGAATTCCCTTGTTCTTCCCGGAAAAAGTCGTGCGCTTCCACGGAGATGATTGTCTGGAGCGGTCCGTGATCCCGGGCCGAATTGTCCTCACGGAGCAGCTGCGAATTAAACCAGACGAGACTCGCGACCTGCTGCTCGCTGCACCAATTAATCTGCATCCCGAAAAGCTGCGCTAAGATCCTTCAACGAAAATGCAAATATCGGTCGACCAGGAAGCCGCGCCTTTCTTATCGGGTATTTTGTCCGAGCAGAATTTTTATCGAAACTTCTTCCTGTGCCATTTTACTCTCGTGGGATTCTTATAAATAGTCGAACAAACGTTGCCACGAAAATAGGAACTATACCTGTAAAAAATGTTGACACGTTCCACAACATTTTTTGCTCGTGTCACGTCCCGTGGTTCGGACACCCACACGGTCAATATTTAAAAAATCGGTGCACATGAACCAAATCGATGAAACTTGTGTACTCTATTAGGATAAGGTTTATTAAGGAAATGCTTTCGTTACGGATAATGATAACGACGTAAACGAGAAACGATAGGACGAAGGTGTCCCGAAGGTGTCCCAAATTTTCCGACTGCAGACATATTTGCTAAACAACTGCAGGTTGCGTTACAAGCCATTATCCGGACGTTACACGGCGATACTTGAACTTACACTTGATCCACGCAGCATTCCATGTACCTTGGCGTCGAGAACGCCGTTCAATTACACGTAATACGTGAAACCCGCGGCGGCAGTCTACCCGCCCAAGTTCACGGGCTTGCCTCGTTACGTCGCAAACCCGTTCCTCCCTTCCAGGCTCATTTGCGAGTTTCTAAGCGCGCGCGGTTTAATTACGTCCGTCGATATCGCTGCAACGCGATGCAACGCGAAGCGACGCGACCCCAGAATCGTAGCAGCGCCTCGATCTCAAGAATCCCCGGATTTCGTGGACTCTAGGCCCATTGGAGGGGGGCGAATTCTCGGGGGCCCCGTGGGCGTTGCGCAACGGACCCGCTCGGCGATCGGTGGGTAGAACGAATTCCCATGATTTCTCGTGGAACCGAACTACCAGCGCCACTTTTTTTCCTGCCCGTTGTCGGGTTTGATTAGCGACGCGATGTGAATGAGCCTTAAGAAGGAGGATGCCCCGATGGCTGCGCCGCTGAAAGGTGGCTAGCTGGCGGCTGGGATCGGCGAAAGCGGTCAGTGATCGCTGGGGCCTCATGCTCTCGGGCCCCTCGTTGCTCACGATCGCCACCCCACCATTCTCCCGTTTCCCCCTCCCTGTCTCGCCGTTCCCTTTCTCCGTCGCAGCTCCCACCATATCTCGTTTTTCCCTCTCCACGGGCCCGTGGATTCCCCACCAGCCCGCCCCTGGGCCTAGTCTCCTTTCAACGGTGCAGGTGACGGGGCATTCTTTTAAATCTAATCAACTACTGAACCCGGTCCCGATGTATACAGGGTGTTTCCGAATGGCTGACAGGCTCGTTTAAAAAAACAGGGCCTCGGTCGATCGCTGACGGGGTGTCGGGCCTGACAGGTACCCGATAGACAATCGTAGTCGTTCATAATTCGAACCTACGGGTTTTATCGTCGTCCCTTTTCATTCTCGATAATGGCGTTCACACCTCTCGCAAAGCAGGGCGGTTGCCGGGCCGCGCGATTTCGAGCACGGTTCCACGGGGGCCCGGCTACTCCTCCTGATAAACGCGTCGGACGTTCGGGGATAAAGCCGCCATGCCAGTCGGATCTTTTCAACGAGACTTCATCGCGATGCGGTTTTACAGGATGGTTTTATGGGATTTCTTTGACGGCACCCGGTGAAACCCGAGGCAATTGCTTCTAACAGAGGAAATTGCCTCGTAATGTATTGAAGCGGGG